CTGAGCTGAAATCAAGAGTCAGATGCTCAACCGACTGAGCCCCCTGGGCGCCCCAACCACATATGTTTCTCTACCTGTCTGCCTACCTACGTCTGTAGTGTTCCGAAAGCAATGGAGATCTGTTGATTACCTGTTAGAGTCTCTCACTTATGAAGGACCGATTGAGTTAAAACATCTAAAGCGTTAGAACAGGGTCTGGAAGGTAGTAATCACTTATTCAATATGTACTGCTGTCATTACTATTGTGCGAAAATAATCTTCCCCGCTGGTGTGAACACCCACGGGTGCCTCCCCGCAGCCACCCCTCCTGCTTCCGACAACATTCCTGACTTGGGTCGGGGCCCCCGTTGGGACACAGCTCTCCAGGGTCTCTCGCATTTCTGTATGTCCTCTGGGCAGAGGCGCTGACGGCATTTTGTTCTGGATTACCTCTTCTAGGTTGTTTTCAGCAAACACCCTTGGAAGAGAGAGGTGATGTCTCCCTCCGGAGCAGAAAGAGAGCTCTGTTTGCTGCCCAGTAAAGGTCATGTTTCCCTCTGAGGCAAAACTTGGCCAGGTCTGCACAGAGGCCATTATAAAAGACCGGGGTCGTCTACGCTCAGAGTTCTTTGGCTTTGACACAAGCCCTCAGTGTGCACAGTATCACCTGTGCCCTCCTTTGCTTTGCCCTGGGACTTGGGGTCAGGTGGAAAGAAGGAAAGGTGAAGCACAAGCTGCTTGTGATGCTGTGAGGAAACTCCTTTGTCTCTGTGACATAGCCCACCTGAATAGTGTCCTTAGAAGGCTGGCTCATGAGGTTGGCCTTTGGTTGCTTATAAAAGCTGGCATTTGGGGAGGGTTCCCAGCATCCCCAGGGTTGGTAAGAATGGGTCAGTCTGCCTAAACTGTTCATACAACGAGTGTCACTCGTGCTGGCTACATGCTCTCCTTCTGGGAGCCTGGAGTTAGGGAAAATGCTCTGGAGAGGCTGCTGACCATAGGAACCCCGGGCGTGAGGCTCTCGCGAGCTTCCCTGGCTGGGAACATCGCTCGTGTGCTGTCACAACTTGTTGCTGGGGGAATTAGAATTGTCCCGTGTGACCACGGGGACAGGACCGTTGGCCACTTGAGCCTGGTGTCCTTTGTACCTCACTCTCTGAGTCTTTCCCTTTGCTGGCCCCTTTCACTGCAATGAATCATGGCCACGACCGCGAACATAATGCTGTCTTGGGATTCCTCCTAGCGAATCATTGGACCTAGGGGTGATCTTGGGGACCCCAGACATATCCTCTGATGCCAGCGTCTGTGTCTTCTCTCAGCACCCGTGAGACTGGCAGGCTCACTTGTTGATTTAAAGCAGGGAGATCTCAGACACGTGATGGTTGTTGGGAGGGCCATTCTTCTCCCTCTCTCCAGACACATGAGACTGTGTGTGTGTGTGTGTGTGTGTGTGTGTGTGTGCGTGCATGTGGGTGAATCCCGTCTAGGTCAACCTGGGTATTACATGCCCTGCTTGTCGTGGGCTTTCAGGGACAGGCACTTGCTCTAAGCCAGCCCAAGCAAAATCAAACCATTTTCTTCTCCTTTGGCTACAAACCAAGGATATAACCTGGTGCAGCTACCTTGCAATCATGAGTGTTAACACAGAGCAAGTGGGACTGAGAAACTGGGCACCCACACCAGCCGGCCTTAACGCCAGGCTGCCCCTGGGCTATTTAAGATACTTGAGTCAATGGGGCGCCTGGGTGGCGCAGTTGGTTAAGCGTCCGGCTTCAGCCAGGTCACGATCTTGCGGTCCGTGAGTTCGAGCCCCGCGTCAGGCTCTGGGCTGCTGGCTCGGAGCCTGGAGCCTGTTTCTGATTCTGTGTCTCCCTCTCTCTCTGCCCCTCCCCCGTTCATGCTCTGTCTCTCTCTGTCCCAAAAATAAATAAAAACGTTGAAAAAAAAATTAAAAAAAAAAAGATACTTGAGTCAATGAATTTCCTCTATTGCTTAAGAAAGATTGGATATGGTTTTTGATCGCTTCCAACAGAAGGAGTTCTAACTGATACCGATCACGGCTGTTCAAAGAACGGGGCCTCCCTGTTCTGGCGGAGAGAAACAAGCCAGCCCCACAAAAGACGCGGTCCTCCTTTAGGGACCCTAAGAGTAACTCGGTGAAAATAACCAGCCTGCTAGCAGTCAACAGTCTAGAAGTGCCGACCGGGCGAAGAGCCTGGATCTGGTGACATTTCGGGTCACTTCCAGCCCGAAATGCAGAAGGCGTTTAGTGGCTGAGGTGTGTGGAGGGGATGCTGTAACCATAGCAACATGAGCTGAGGTCCCAGCTGCAAGGAGCGGAAAAGGAGGTGGTTTGATTCGAGAGGCGCTTCCTGCACCACCCTCAGACCCGTGCCCGGCAGTCGGTGTCCTGTCCACACCATACCTCCTGCCTGCACCACCACGAGGGACGGCTTTGCCTTTTCCGTGCTAGCCTTGCACATGAGCACTTGGCCTCTACTGCGTCTCCTTGCACACGTCCGGGAGAAGCATTTGAGTGAGACGAGTCAATATCGGAGGCTTTGCTTCGGCCCCAGAACCCGGGTGATACGGATCAACGACTCTTCCAAGGAAAGGGTTGCTACGAAGGATGTTTTGAGTCACGATTATATTTACATGACGTTATAAATGGTAGCAGATTTGAGACTGTTGAAGCATCAGCCTTTTCTGATTGGGCATGCTGAATTTAGCGACACAGAATCTGTGATACACAAAATAAATTAACAAGGAACCCAACACAACGTGTTATGTTGGAAATATAACATGCGTCTTTAACTTGGTTAAGATGAAACAGCAAATATGTACAGAGTGTAAGAGGCAGATACATAATTTGTACCAAATCTCACAGAATTAAGTCAGTCCAAAATGAAAAACAGAACATTTGCTAACGGTCGCAATAGGAATTGATCATCTGAAAATAAGTCTCTCCTCCTTGACTTTCACCCTAGCACCTGATACGTTGTATATGTATCTCTCCAGCATTTGTCCCTCTCCCCACTGGATTGTAAACTCCCTGAGGTCAAGGGCTCTGATTCACTGCTATACGCCCAGCACCTAGAATCTGACATATAGTACACGCCCAATAAATAAGTGTTGAATGAGTGAATTTAAGACAGGCGTGCATTCAACCAACATAAAATTGGTTTCTACCACATCACTTGGTACGCCGACCCCACATGCTGTGCTAAAACCTTAGCGAGGTCCTTACTTAATACCTGGCTCTCTATGGGACAAGTCAATGTCCTGGGGTAGCTTGGCCCTTGGCAATACCGGCTTTGGCCACCGTGGCTGTTTCTGCCCATGGCTGTGGCCCCGGGCTGGCTTTTCGCATAGGACACAGTTGCACGGCTGGGGACTGGCAAGTTGAAGCTAAGAGGTGAACAGGGAGAAGGCAGGGGAAGGAGGCTCATTCCAGCGCCCCCCGGAATTGCCGAGTGTGTTGTTCCAGCTTCTGGGCCTCGGCCTGGAGGTGCCCCAGGGCTGCCGGGCTGGGGTACTTGAGCACGGCGTGCTTGGTGGCCAGCGCGAGGTTCTTGAGCAGGCTGCAAAGGTGGCTGCTGCCACAGAGAATCTCGTTGCGCATGTCCCTCTCCTGGGTCTCCTGGCACAGCGTGTCCACCAGCTTCTGTCCCACCATGATGACCAGCTTGCTCTGCGCGATGAAGATCTCGGGGGGCTGGCTGTTGCTCAGGCTGCTGTTAAATACGCCGATGGCTTTGAACAGTGCCCCGAAATAGAGCCGGCAGTGTTGAGAAAGGTGGAATCTCTTCTCAGGGTTCTGCTGACTCAGAGGCCGGGGGGTGGGGGAACAGGGATGCTGGAAGAGGGAGGAAAGTAATCGATCAGAGGCAGATTTGATCGCCAGGCTGTGGGTGTCTCCCTTTTCCTGTTTTGCTCAACGTTCTAGACTTTATATCAGAAAAAGTGCAGTTTTGTGTGGGGAGCCCCACCGTGCACCATTTGCCTAACAAATTAATGTTAATGTTTTCAAAGCACGGTTACATATGAAGTATGGTATTTACATATACAATATTATATATTGCATTGTATATATCATCTTACGTGTTAAATACATAAAATCTCATTCAGTATTCTCAACAAACCATTAGAAGCCCGTTCTAAGAAGCAAATGGACAGAGGTGCCTGGGTGGCTCCGTTGGTTAAGTGTCCGACTTCAGCTCAGGTCACGATCTCACTCAGGCCTTGATCCCACGGTTCGTGGGTCTGAGCCCCGCATCGGGCTCTGTGCTGACAGTGTGGAGCCTGCTTGGGATTCTCCCTCTCTCTCTGCCCCTCCCCCTGCTGGCACCGTCTCTGTCTCTCTCAAGGTAAATAAAGAAACTTAAAAAAAGAGAGAAACACATTGACAATGAATAAATCTATAACCTTAAAGAACGCAAGAAAACTCGATGAGATTTAAAAATTTACTCAAAGAATGGAATTTTCAAAAAATCCTTTCTAATTTCAGCATCGGCAATAAACCTGATCCCCCCAAATTTCCGGAAGAAATCCAAATACGCTGACCTATCTGTCCTACTATGACAATATTTCTCTAACTTGCTAATAAGGTTTCATTTAGAGTTTTCCTTTCATGAGTTTTAGTTTCTGAAATATGGAACCGATGTCTTCCCAAAGCCTAGGCACTATCGAAAGATGCTCAGCAGGGGCGCCTGGGTGGCGCAGTCGGTTAGGCGTCCGACTTCAGCCAGGTCACGATCTCGCGGTCCGGGAGTTCGAGCCCCGCGTCAGGCTCTGGGCTGATGGCTCAGAGCCTGGAGCCTGTTTCTGATTCTGTGTCTCCCTCTCTCTCTGCCCCTCCCCCGTTCATGCTCTGTCTCTCTCTGTCCCAAAAAATAAATAAACGTTGAAAAAAAAAAAAAAAGAAAGAAAGATGCTCAGCAAAGGGTGCCTGGGTGGCTCAGTTGGTTAAGAGTCTGACTTCAGCTCGGGTCATGATCTCACGGTTTGTGCGTTCAAGTCCTGCATCAGGCTCTGTGCTGACAGCTCGGAGCCTGGAGCTGCTTCGGATTCTGTGTCTCGCTCTCTCTGTCCCTCCCCTGCTCTCTCTCTCTGTGTCTCTCTCTCAAGAATAAATAAACATTAAAAAAAATTTTTAGTGGCATCGAATTTAGTGGCAACCACTCCAGGGGATAATCAAAAGCCTCTTTGTTAGGTTACAGGTGGGGAGATTGATGCTCCCTGAAGCCAAGGGCTGCCTATGGTCATTCATTTTGTAAAATAAAGATCTGGAGTTCTGGGCGGAGTCAGCTAAGTCTGAATGTCTTAGTCTTTTCATGAAACTGCATGTTCTCTCATCCACCTGTGATCTCAAAGCTCACAGCCTAGAAGAACTCAGTGTTAGGGTCTGACTCCGTATGTTGAAACTCCACCCGCTAAGGTGAAGGTGGTAGGAGATGGGCCTTTGGGAGGTAACTAGGATTAGATGAGGTCATTTGGGTGGGGCCCTGTGATGGGATTAGTGCCCTTGTTGGAGCCCTTGTCTCTGCTCTCTGCCACCTGAGGACACAATGAGAAGACAGAGGAGAGCCCTCACCAGGATCTGCCCAAGCTGACACCCTGATCTCAGACTTTCAGACGAGGGTTCTCGTCCCAATTTGCCCCCGAGATGTCCACATGATCAGACATCTCTGTCCTTCTCTCTTCCACTCACACCCAACCCCCAGCCAGGGAGCTGATCTGGTTCCCTGTTCTCCAGGCTCTAGGTACTCAGACAACCTTCACCAGGGATGCCCTGTCGGCTTCCTTCTTCACCTTGACTTGTTTCATCTTTGTCTTTAAAGGAACCCACCGGTTTTACTTCTATTACTTTAAAGGAAGCTTTTCAAATTGATGACTGGAAAACCACTGTCATTTGTCACCGGTAAGAAGGAACCAACAAAACTAAGCACCATGATAACATCTTTGAATGTTTTTGAAAAAGAACATCAAGTGTCACAGAGGCGTTGGTGACACATAAGCCCCAAACCAAAATGGTTTTCCTGTTGTAACCAGAAGCATTAAAAGAGAATGTCAAAGGGAATGTGCATCCATGGTATCGAACACCATGTCAGTCCCACCCACGCTAAACCTGCGACGCCCGGAACTGTCACTCATGGTTCAAGGATCATGCCCCACATTCTGGGGCTCGTTGGACCTGTTCATCTCCAGGGCTCCTTCTACTGCAAATAGGAAGAACCATCACAAACACCACATCTATTCCCAAGGCGTCATGGATCACGGCTATCATGCTGACTTGTTCATAGCAGGAGGCATCTCTAGGGATGAAGCATGCGAGTCAGAAATACGGGCGAGCCGGCCCTGTCACTTACCTGTGCTTCGAGGTTTTTGTTTTCATCCAACCTTTGTTCCAAGATGGGTTTTCCTGTCTCTTCTAGATTAGGCAACTTCTGAAAAATAAAATCCCTTCCGATTACCAACTTGAGTGGTTTCGACATGGTTCAGAGGTGTTTAAGTCTACTTTAAAAGGTGAGCATTTTGGGGCGCCTGGGTGGCTCAGTCGGTAGAGCGTCCGACTTCAGCTCGGGTCGTGATCTCCCTTTGTGGGCTCGAGCCCCGCGTCGGGCTCTGTGCTGACAGCTCCGAGCCTGGAGCCTGCTTCGGATTCTGTCTCCCTCTCTCTCTGCTATCTCCTCCCATCTCCTCTTGTGCTCTGTCTCTCTCTCTCAAAAAGAAATAAACATTAAAAAAAGAAAACTTGAGCATTTATGTTTTTATTTTTGTGAATAGTTTTGCCCCCTGGTGCCTTTTTTTTTCAACAAAGGAAACTTTGCCAGACCCAGGGCTAAATTCTGCCTACCCGCATGGCCTGATATAAGGACACATAGTTTAAAAATTATGTATGTTTGTATTTATGTATTTTATACCTCTTTATGTCTATATCTATATTTTTAAAATAGGGAATGAAAAACACCCAGGTTTCTGCTTTCTCTAGAATGTGTTAAAGCTCTTACACCAACCACCAGGCATTTTGACAGAATACCACACAAGATTGGGGCTAAAAGGGATCAAGTCGTGTTGACACAGCCCCCAGGTTACCCGCTCTACCCCTTGACACTTGCAGTCCTTGAACAAAAGGCTCTTTTCCTATCGTGTCTGAATTCACGCAGCCAAGTATTTCTAACAGTAATAGAAGGCTGGAGGCTGCTAAGAACACACACGATTTGGAAGAGTGTTTACACTTCCTGTTCTGTTTCTAAGAAACACAGAGACAATGACTAAATCTACAACGTTCAAAAATGCAAGGAAACTCGGTGGTGAGATTGAAAAATGTGCTCAAAGAACAGATTTCAAAAGGGTTTCAAAGTCCTTTCTAACCCTGGTGTTAGAGATAAGCCCCAAGACACCACGTTTCCAGAAGACGTCCAATCTGCCTGAATGTTACTTCTTAATAAGATTTCATCTAGAACAGCACTTCCATGAATTTTATTTTCTGGAAAATGGAACCAACGTCTCTCAGAAATTATCGAAAGATTATCATCATTCGATATTCAGTTATTGAACTGTTTCTAACAATTACGGAAGGGTTCTCAGCATCTAACTGGTGGGCGACGTCTCCAGATAAAATTTGAAGGGCTCCTTGTGTTCTACCACTCGGAACTCACCTGTTCACAGATACTCGTCCCGTTTTTCTTTAGTATTTCAGGGGAGTGCTCCCTCTCCTTCTGTTTATCAGAAGGAGCACTTCTTTGGTATAATTCCATTTCTCTTCGGGGAAGCTGGATGCATTCGGCAAACTTAAATTGTGCGTCTGGGGTCACTTGCAAGGTGTCTCCCTTTTCACAGTTCTGCTTGAAAAGGAGCTTCCCGTTGGCAATGACCATGGAGGCAAACCTCTTGACGTCTTCCGGAACCATCCGTGCCACCGTGACAAATCTCTCGAGGTCGTCCGGGCTCTTTTGGGCTTTGTCCGTCACGAGGACTTCCAGGGACCAATTGCAGCTATCCAGGCTCTCCTTTGTTCCGAGCAGGATCTGGTAGGAGTTGGAGATCGTCTGTAGCTGGTCCCTAATTCTGGCCTGAAGGTGAGTGTCACTGAGGTTGCAGGCGGTCCCACGGACCGTGCGGGCAAAATCCAGGAAAGCCCTCAAAGACTCCTCCACGTGGTCGGCGGCCCTGCGGATGGCACTGACGTTGGCCTCCAGATAGTCTCTGAACCTCCACCTCCTGCTGACAAAGAGCATCAGGCTTGCGACAGAGCCGGCCACCTTGTGCTGCAGAGACGCTGCTGTCTCTCGGGCCCAGTCCAGGTCCAAGCAGAGCTCCTTCCCTGCCTCCTCTGAGCAGGAGCTGGACGAAGAGTCCGTGGCCGTGGAGGAGCAGGAGACAATGCTGGCTCGGCTGTCGGAGCTGGAAACGGACAGGCTGTCCGCTTCCGGAGACAGCAATGGTGGCCGTCCCGAGAGCCACGAGGAGCCACGGTCCGCGACGTTCTCTGAAGCCCCGTCAGCACTCCCCAGCTCGTGCTGGGCCTGAGGGCCTCTCGGCGTTGCTTTAGGGATGTCATAAATGTTTGGCTTGGTGTTCTGCTGTTCCGCTCGGGGAATCAGAAAGCTGGAAGGAACCTTGTAGCCGACACCTTCGTCCAAGGGGAACGTGTCCCTCGAGGCCAGAAATTTATACGTAGGAATTTCTGGAAGGCTGAGTTTTTTCTGCATGGGCACATTTTTGTGCAGGTATGGATCGAGGGACCTTGCTCTGCTATTTGGAGGACAGCGGAGGCTGGACATATACTGGGGGGAGCAGCATATACTGGGGGGAGTGTGGGGCCCCGATCCTTCTGCAAAGCTGCTTAGAGATGCGTTTCTCGTACTAGCTTTTTCCGGAGATACTGGCGTGTCATAAATCCACTCAGATTTCTGAGGGCTCGGTAACGTGTTGTAGCCGCCTTGCCTCAAGGCGATCGCTGACGTCAGGGGAGCACTCTGCCCCTGTGAAGAACCAAACAAAATTGCCCAGGTTAGCAGCGATAAAGACAGGGTGTGAGCCACTCCTCTGACGAACGTGTGTTAGGCTGAGGGCCTCCTAAATGCCAGGTACTGTGCTTCTTAAAAATCTGATTGTCACTCCCCTACTCCAGCTTCTTCAGCGGCTCCCCATTGCTGGTTTTGCTCAAGGCCCTTCACAATCTGGTTGCACCCACCTTCAGGCCTCCACACCACTCCTGCCATCACCTTCCTCGTGGGTCCAGTCGCCCAGGCTGTTTACTGTCCCCTGAACTCAGAGTACTCACTGAGCCCACTGTATTTCATTTGGCCCAAACCAGCCCTTCTGTTCTAAAAGCCCTCCCCACCCTTTCCTTTCTACCTAACGAACTCCTATGCAACCCTCACGACCCTGTGGAGATGTCCCCTCTTTTGTAAGGCCTTCCCTGATAACCTTGGGTATAGGTGTATGCATCGTATACATGGGACAGAATTCAACGATGAACACGGGTTCCAGATTTTCAAATTAAGGCGTCTCTCCAGTATACAAAAACCTACTTTAACACATCTGTGAGGTATAGAATAATAAGCGTTTAACTGAGATCCACTGGGCTTTTGCTCCGCGCCAAGCACTGTAGTAGGTCCTCCACAGGAATATCTCAATTCTCACAATTAGTCCGCCATAAGAAACTGAGGCACGGAGAAGCTAGAGGACTCACCCAAACCACATCGCCCACCCTGTTCCTGAACATCACTGCCATCAGGTTTCCAAATGAAATAAGTTCTGCTGTGAGGCATTTGTATCCCTACTTTGGACCACGCTGATGAAACGTCCCGGAGGAGGCTCACATTTTCCTAGCAGCAAATCTCCGCGTCTCATCATACTCACACTTGGTTGGCTGGCCAAGGGACCAAGTCCTGCCTTTTGGGGGCCGGCGGGTACGTCATATAACTGCTGCTTCTCTGGCTCCTGGGGAGAGACCGAAAAGGATAGCTTGGATTTTTCCCTCCCGATGGACGCACATCACAGACTCTGCCCACGCCAGTGTTTTTTCCAAAGGAAAATGCAAACCACTGAAAACTTTGGGGCTTCCGGTCATGACGCTTGCAAGGCGGAAGCTTACATGGTTATGTTTTCAACAACGGACCCTGTGCTTTAAAAAGCTCGCCTTCTCGACCGAAGATGGGGACAAACTAGAGAGAGAATGAAACGCAGTTGGCCTGAGTTAAAAATAGTGGCTCATTTAGTTCTGTAAGTTAGCCTTAGGGTTGACTTTAAAAGGAATCAAGGAAATTGGGACTTCGTGGGGCACCTGGGTGGCTCAGTCAGTTGCTGAGGCATCCGACTTCGGCTCAGGTCATGATCTCACGGTTCTTGGGTTTGAGCCCCGTGTCGGGCTCTGTGCTGACAGCTCGGAGCCTGGAGCTGCTTCGGATTCTGTGTCTCCCTCTCTCTCTGCCTCTCCCCTGATCATGCTCTGTCTCTCTCAAAAATAAATAAACATTAAACAAACAAACAGGGTGGAGAGGGCCGGGGTGAG